TCCAACAGAAAGATCACAGTTACTAGACTATTCGGCAAGACATTTACTTTTACATCTTCTTTAAGGGAGAAGGACTTGAGGAGGAAGAAAAATTAAAACAAGTTTTCAGCTATCAGCAAGTTTAAAAATAAGTTAACCTCTTCTTAAAAAAAAAATCCCTTAGATTTCAAAAGTATCAGTCAATACTGTGCCCTACCTCGCCCGTGACCCAAAACATTAATGCTATGTAGTTATGCGATACAATTTCTCTCTGAGACAATATGGACTCACGGTATATATACTGTGTAATTGTGTCTCCATCATTCAAATGGCAGTGGCACTGTGCCATACCGCACACAGCCAGCATAGAATATTCATCGGGATTTTTACGTTAAAACTATTCGATAGTAATTGTGCATTGAATCTCTGCTATTCTGTAAAATGCGTGTACGATTAGGCAACTGTTAAGTGTGCCTGCATTGCCTTTTAAGGACTGGCCATAGGTCACACACAAAATTAGAACTGTGGTTCGAGCCGACGGTGAGCCTGAAGCGGTGGCCCCAGGAGGAGTCAGAGGTGCACCCAGGCACACCTGAAGCGTAGACCTGCAGGGTCTCCGTGAGGTGGCCGACGGGAGCTGAAGCCAGTCAGCTGAGATACATGTCAGACCATTCTCCTGACTCTGATTCTTAAAGAATTACCAAGGTGGTCATTTTTTCTTGCATTTATGATACACATATTGATGCAGAAGTATCCATTTTATCTCTACACCATGTTAAACCAAATGAAAAACTCCTGCAGTTGGATTACATTGAATTTCTACACCAAAACTAGGAGGTCTCACCATTTTCTGGAATTAATCTAGCACCTCCGAGTGCCTCATTAACCTACCTTCCTCAAATACTTTTAATACCACAAACTTCTCAGCAGATTTTAAGATAAACAGTATTTTAAAACCAATACCCCCAAACTGCCTGCTAGAAAAGTGTGCCCTTACAGCCCAATTTTAAATAAAGCTTACCTGAGGCTGAAAATAAATTTATTTCCCCCCAACCTGTGACAAATTTAACATCTTGGTCAATGTCAGAGAGTGCTAAAAACAAACCCCTTATCCTTTCAAAGAGAGGATTACCCTCGTCAGTGATGAGATTGAATCAAAATGCATTTTGATTGCCACCATGTACAAATTTATTGTAACTAAACAGATGTGCTATCTGGCATAGGGATGAAAAAAAACCAACCCCAAACAAACAAAAAAAGTCTTAAAAAGGACACCTACTCTAAAAAGCTCTCTGAAATATTAAATATAGCTGTCAGACAGGCTACAGCGAGAACATGATGGCATAAGGGAACATTATGGCAGAAACGCGGTATAAGGACTGAATTCCACTTTTGTACAATTCACTTAGAGCTTCACTACCTCTGCCGAATGCTGGTACTCCACATTTGGAATGCCGTACTTAAAACCTTCCTGTTTTCTGCAGTTAAGCAACTGCAGCTAAAGTATAGCATGAGTAGCAATGACTTACACACACACACAAATCAAAATACCATATAAAACTATTTTTAGTGACTTATGATTTTTAACTCAGAAGGTTTTGTGAAAATATTGGACTGCTCTAAGTCTTGTCTCTACCAAAATTTGAGTCCTATTCTTTAGAATTCAGATTAAAAAGGGTTAGGCTTTATTAACAAAGGAATAGGGGGGAAATTAAATTTTCCGTGATTACGTGAATGTTGGAAGACGAAGTTTTAGACCTCTTGGTCAGATTGTTGCACCTTTTTTGGTGGTGTTTTTTGACATCTCAGAAAATATTACCATATCTAAATTAACAGAAATGTAACCTCTGGTGGTTAAATTTTCCATTGCAAAACTGGGAGAGACATTTAAATAACTAGATACTGGAGAGGAGTTAATTAAGAGAGATTACATCTCCTCTTAAGTTATTTAATACGTAAAAGTCCCCTGAAGGCCTGTACTTAGTCATGAAATGCATTTGCTTCTTAACTTTTGTTTCCTGTTTTGACTGGGAGATCACCAACACGGAGAAACTACAGCTTCCCAACAGTCCCAGGGACCTGAGAGGACCGCCGAGACAAATCACTGCACAGAGTACAGGGATCACTCTCCTGTTTGGCAAAGTCACGAAGGGTTACACCAGTCAACAAACTCTCCCCAAGCACTGCAGTTCTCCAAAACCCAGTACGCCTAAGGCTTGCTTTTGGGCAGAAGGTAACTGCATGAAAAATAATTGACTTCACACTAATAATAAACGAATTCTTTATTCTAAAGCAGCATACTTTGAGGTTGGTCAAGCACCCTCAATCTGTTTAGAGGTGAGAGAAAGAAATGATTCTGAACTTGAAGGAAACCCTCCAGCAGAAGGCTCATGCAAGATGACGTAACCTTTACGCTACTGGGAACAGATTATTTCAAAAGCTTCTCAGTTCCTTCCTCGCTTCACGTGACATCTCTCAAGGATGAGGTTACCCTGCAATCTTTTTCTGTTTATGTACAGGTATTTTAATCCACGAGAAACATCAGCTCACCACTTTGAAGCACATTTCTGTAAGCTGACAGAAGCGTACCTGCCTTGCCAGGAATTGTAAATAGCTGACAAGAGAGATCTTGCTTGCATCCAATTGTGAGATCTGAGGTCCACAAGCTGAAAGCAAACCTCTGTGCATCCACTCAGTGTTGGTTTGGGTTTTTTTAAGGTAGGAGGACTATTTGGCTTTAGAAATAATACCATTCAAGTTCAGCAATCATACTTCATCTCTACTTCCAAGGAAAAGATAAAGAAGCATAGAAGTATTGAAACTTCACAGTAAATGTCTTTCCTGTACTTGATCAATGGACAAATAAAATATGAGTTTCAGATTGCAAGGTTTAATGGGAATTACTGAAAGGAAAATTAACTACTGTTTCTACTAGCTACAAATATTAAGACAATGAAATGAGCTTACTTACTGATGCCTATGTATCCAAAGACAGAGAAAAATGAAAATTATGAGACAAGGCAGATTTAAAACTAAAGAGCTTAGTTCCATTTCATTTGCTATAAACACCAAATTAAGAAAACAAGACACAAGGCAGCACTGCAAATGAAAGATGACTGTCTTAGGACAACTAAAGACAGGAAATATTGTACTAAAATTGATGAAAAATGTTAATAAAAGGTAGTTCCCAAATAATAATTTCCTAAGGTATACCAGTGCCTGGAAATCAAATATTTGACAGGAAAAAAAAAAAGAAGATAATTTATAACTATTTTCATTGAGGCATGTTATTTTCTTAAAAATCCTACGGATTTTCATTTATCTTACAAGGATTTTTACTAGTTTATGTTTAATCAATTCCTTAGCGTGATGGATATGGGTATATCTTAGTTGTATGAAAAGACATCTGAGAGAAAATATTCCAAATATGGCATCTTTTCTGATGCAATGAAAACTATTTTTAGTCAAAATGAACATAGATCTAAGCCTCAGAGTCAATACTGCAAATTTGTAAAATTTGCACCTATACGTTTGCAGTACTAAAACATAAAAAAACCCCTTTGCAGGTAAAAATCCAGCATAACAAGGTTTGTTCTGCATTTAACATCAGGTATTCATCAATACAAAACACAGATTCATCCATTGGGATATCCAGTTCCCACAGGTAATCAGCTTTATATCACTGTCAGTAACATTAATAGAAGTGAATCATTAATTTCAGTAGAAATTTAGTCAAATGCAAAAGAAATGGGAATTTTATCCAGCAGGGCACCTCGTTGTATGTGGCAGTGTACCGATGTGATCTCAGGTGGTTCACAAGCAGAGGTGCTCGCATTCAAAAATACGACTACGTGCTACTGTTGAACATACGGTTCTCCTCCCTCCCTGCCCAAGCAATAACACTTCACAAAGGCAAAAACAAAAGGAGGAAATTCAGCGGTTAGGAGAAGCTATTCTTGCTTCAAGGATAGCTCCTCTATTGACACAGAAAAGCTCATGCTCTGGAATTAGTTCCAACGCAGAGCCTGCACTCAGATGGCCAAGAGCTAAAGCAGCAGTGATACGCTCTGTCGCGCCTCCTTAACACGTTACAAACTCAATCACAGCATCTGGAAAATTGCAACTTTCCGAGCAAAAAAAATAATGAACGAAAATAAAGCAGAAGTTGGGCAATCCTCAACACCACCAGCAGCTCGCTCTCTACCTGCATCCAAACATATAATTTATGCTACGCTCTTAGCATTACTTGGTTTGAAAATATAAACATAGATGAGCAACTGTGGCAAGCTTATCAACAACCCCCCGGTATGATAACAAATCTTAATGGGCTATTCTCCGCTGTAATATTTTCATACTGAGAGTTAAATTGTTGTTGGAATCCATAAACTTCAGATCTACAGAAGCGTGAAAAGGTAGGCATCTTTGCAATATTAGTATTTTACAGGCATATAATAGGTAAAAGATACATTCATTGAACTGCCAGTGGTTTCTCTATTTGATAGTTCCTTTAATTTCAATATTCAAACAGTTTCAAATTTAGAACAAACCCCTCCCACTTTACCCAACGGAGTATTTCTTACTCTAGCAAATGGGGACTTTGGGGCAGCAATTTCATTGGATGTGTTTAGTCAGCAGCTTTGAAAAACGTGGCATGCTGGCCTGCATTTGCAATGGCGCTAAAGGAGCCCAGTCCTGGCTCACTCGGGTACCAACGGCCTGATGTACGGTCTTGCTCTAGAAAAAACCCCCATCTGGTTATACCCTGCTTTTTGCCAACTTAAAGCCTGTTACAGATCTCCCCATGCACTACAAGAAATCCCTATTAAGAGGTTAAATTGGTTTTCCTCTCCTTACAGAGTCGTCCTATTTATCTTCTGGCTGGCTGAAAACCCCAAGCAGCTGGGGAAAGACCCCTTCAAGGAAAAAAAACCTTTCTGACATAGAGACAGCGATATCCCTGGAAAGTGAATCACGGCTTTGGTCACTAACAATTTCATTGATGGACCACAAGCAATACTTACATGGTGCTGTCGCCAAGCTCTTCATAGAGGTTATTGGCAGCTGTGCTTGCTGGTTTGCCTGCTGGCAAAGCCATCTGGATTCTCGCAGTCTTTGCGCATTCAGCCTGTCGCCTTTGGTAAGCCACGGAGGGAAGGAGAAATACTCATTAGAAAGACTCTATAGCCTAACAGAAGCTGAGATGTAAGGTTTTCTATGATTTTCCCTGCAGTTTTCAAAACATCCCTGCATTTTGTCTTCTTCAAAGAAAAGTAATAATGCGATAATCGTTTTCCTGGCTTTTTCAGCTCTCTGCTATTTGTTCTCTCTTGGTGGAATCCCAGAGCTCCCCTTGGACAGAAACCTCCTGCCCAGCAGCACGTCACTGACACAGCAGGTATTTCCCAGGAAATAACGTACGTGCTAGCTTTGACACTGCTCTCAGGAGGTTTCTCTCTTCTGGCTGCCTAAGACTAACAGTGCAGAGAGCAAGCTCTTTGGTCAAGTGCTTCATTCAAGTGCCAAGAAACTGTAATTTTAAACACACAAAACGTCTCTGGCAAAGTTGAAGTTATCACTTACAACTCCTTTCTCATTAGAGTTGGCTGGGAAACTTCTGTCTCAATGAAGAGTTTCATGGAAAAATATTACTTTTTTTTAATGGGTTAATTCACTATGAAACAAATTTTTGTTCTCTGTCTAGAAAATCAACCCTGTGGTCCCTCACGTGTGTAACTGGGGGAATGCCACTGAGGTGACATGACTGATCTACCTCGCGTTGGTTTTGAGGGTGGCCGATACCTGATCCCTGCCTAGGGAAGTCCCTCTAGGCGCTCCAGCCTGACATGTGCTTCCCTGCTTGCGGAATACCACACACATGGAAAGATTTACTTTTTTCTCTGCAGGAAATAGGCAATGTCCTGAACCACGGTATCTTTAATGTATGCTGGCATGCAATAATAAAATACACTGAGTAGCCATATAAGTAGCTTTTAACCTCGCCATAGGTTAAAAGTATAGGAAGTAACTTTTGGTGAATGTCAAATACCCCTTCCTCTTAAAAAGAAAAACTGGTAAGCGGTCAGTATTCCTATACAAGCTGTTAGAAACAAAGCTGAAAATAAGTACTTACTCTTTGAATCTGTTTTGTTATGCAAAAAAAAAAATAAAGAGATAAAAAGCAAGGTTAAACAAATGCCGTTTGCAACAATTGTCCTAAACAGTGAACCTCACAGGAGTAATACACTAGATGCTACTTAATTATTCCACACATAAAATTACCGAATTAATGACATGTTTAAAGAATCATCATTTCCAGAGCTGAACAGTGTTTAGCTGCTATTTTTGATACTCTTGAAACAATTTTGCAGTCAGCATAAACATGAATTACAGTGAGGAAAATTGTTTTGGGCTTACAGAAAACAACTCCGTGCCACACACACACACACAGAAAAGAGTAAGACATGAAAACGTGCATACACCTCATGGTACTACTTTAACAGATGGACTACTAGCGATGCGTTTTTGTAACTGTTTTGTCATTTTAACATGTTTCAAAAATGCTATAAAAGACATCTTCAATAGTGAAGGCGAATTATTTCTGGTTGCTATTTAGAAGATACCAGTCTTTTGTGATCAGTAAATAACACATCCTTTACGGGGTTGTACTGGATAGTGTATTTCAAAGACACTCTTTAACAGAAAAGAATAACGAGAGTTTCTGGCTTGTTTACAAGTCATAAATGTAGGCACCGAGCTGCACTTTGACAGTGACAGTTTTATAAATTAAATGCGTTTTCTTTTCAGTAACTATTATTTTTTTACAAAATTTAGTAAGCTGATCACTGCTCTGGAAACCACTGAAAAATGGACCTACTGCACAGAAAAAATTCTAACAGTGAGAAAGATCTTAACATTTCCATTTTATGTGCCGCGAGGATGACAGTTACATTTATCCCGCTATCATCTCGACGCTCAGTCGCAGACTGGAGCACGTACTTTGCCAGGATGTTATCGGGAAAAATACTGAAACTCCTTTTGAAAAGGAGGAAAAGGCTGTAATGCAAAAACAAACCATAAGGCTCAGGATAGCTTTTGGTGTTGATATTGACACTAAAATTCCTTCTGTTTTCTTTGGCACTCTTCAGTGACACATTTTTCATAAAAGTATAGTTTATTCACACTGGTCTGCTAGAAATCCAACCCCAAGTCATACTTCTAGACAACAAAAATGTGATTTTTTTTTGATGAAACGACGTTTGGCAGATTCCTTAAAACTCTTAAAAGAGAATGATAATCTTTTCATAATCTAACAGATTCTAAAGTCTAACAGATTCAAATTCATAATCTAAAGAAAAATAGTGCTATTAGATTTCTTAAAGAAACAAGGAATTCAGTTAACAACCACGACCTAATTGTAGGCTGAACTGGTTCGGTAGCGTTTCACTGGACGCAAATTTTATACACAATTTTGGGAGAAGTAAAGCAGCTTTGAGGTGCACTGCCTTCCCAATGGGGCAGAAGTTTGTCAAGCTCTTTCAAACTCCTTTAAAAGGACTTTTTCCTTTGACCCAAATTGTTTAGGTTTTCACTTGGGTGTTTGGGGGTATTTACTGAGATGTAAATATAATCCAAAGAACATGCAGTAACCACCAAGAAATGGCTATCCTTGGCTGTTTTTTTCTGGTGTCACTAAGGAAAGTGCTCTCAGGCAGACTGCTGTTTTTTCCATGCAGGATACGCTTTTTAAGTGATGACTAAACGTTGTGCTTTGCTAACTTCTAACTGCAGGGCAGAAAGGAAAAATGCACAGTTTAAATCTCAGCTGGCTTATTGTACCACATCTATCGCAGCATCCAAATTGTAATCGCTTCACCGTAATACCTGTAGATCAGGCTCTTCCATGCCCTCCCCTCCCACAGACAGATGCAACCCTGCAGCAGGCGTCCGCAGGGGAACTGACATTTCCTCGCCCTCAACACAAGGAGGGGAGCAGATGCCAAACCGTTTTTCATAGAAATAAAACGAATGAGAAAAGAAAAACAAACACACACACAAATCCGTCAGGGCTCTGGGAACTCCTTCCTACGTGGTCCTGGGGAGCTGAGGTTTTCCATGATGAGGGTGTATTACATTCCAGCTAGTTCACCAATTTGAAAATGAAGATAGGAAGATATGAAGGTACAGACCGACAGGAGTTGAATAGAGCCATTTACTGGGGAAGATGCACAGAATTACTTGTATTTTGATTTTGTAATGATTGGTAATTCTTTGAGTGGATGTGGAATTAGAAATCTTTCATAACAAGAGATGAAAGAATAAATATACACCCTTTTAAGTCCAAATGCATTGATTTTAAATATGAGTGGACCTGGAAACGTTTAGTTGAGAGCAACTTGTTAGTGATGTTGATCCTTTAATTAGTCTACTAGCCCAGTTACTTAAACCTCTTGAGTCTATGAGAGGCGAGTGGAAATATCAAGAAGGTTCTCTCTGGAGTATGCTGCTTTAGATAGCACTAAAATGGCACAAAATCAATTCTTCATGAAACACTTGCAATTAAGAAGCACACAGGTAGGGAAAAAATATAACTCTGAGCATTTTAGGATTTAAACAAAAAAAGTTGAATACTCTTATTTTGCTCGAGCTGCACCTTTCTCCTTTTTTTTTTTTTTGGCACGGAATTCAGCTCTGAATCTACACTGGCATTTCAAACATCTAGCTTTTGATCTTGTGTTTTGGCAGGTATTCTAAAACAGTTACTGCACCACAACTTCGGAAAATATAGCAAGATGCACTTCCCGTGCATTTCCTCTTTTCACGCACAACCCACAGCAAGCATTGACTAACTCTTGTGGTGAAAGGGAAATGAAAAATGTTTCCCTGCATAATAATTTCCTTGCAATGAAGGCTAATTTTCAAAGCGGTTCTGCTAAGAAATGTAGCATCCCTACTACAAGGTTGCTACCACAAAAAGAAGGAGGAGTACTTACTGCCTGTAGCTGACCATAACTATTAAAATAGCTGGCATACAGCAAAGGATGATTATGACGGCCAGAGCAAGTAACGCGCCTTCCGTGTAGCCAACCGCTTGTGCCTGCTTCTTGACGTTCGCCACCACATCTGGGGTGCGGATCTCCAGGATGCGTCCCCCCTGCCCCAGGTACGGTTGAAACTCCTTATTGATATCCAGCAGTTTGCCATCCAGGAACCTTTAATGTCACAAAAGAAAAGTTCAAGAAGAGCCAAGTTCATTAAGTGTGTTTAAATTACTGCATAGTTGGGTTAATAACTGTGGTCTGATGAAGCACATACCTCTTCTTTATGTGCTTAAGAATATTAGTAATTCCCTGTAATCTCTGTGCCCGTGATAACTCCAATGTACCTAATACCAGAACACAGTTTAAACACTGAAAAGGAGAGCTGAGTTGATGTTTATCCTAATTTCTAGGGGCAAAAAGTTCTCAGTGCCATTGAAAGCAGCATGGCAAACGGCTTGTTTTGTACTTTTTCCTTCAGTGGTCTGTTGCAGAGCTGAACTTTAGTTTAGGATTAACTAACCCAACTCTGAAGCTCATTCTTGCATCTGCTCTGTCTAATTAGCTTCCATGTCTCTGCTATTTTCTTAGATTGTAGTGCTGGTACTACGTGTTGTATTATTTGAGTAAGACTTTCCTCTTATAGCATGACTGTTTGGGGGCAAGAGGAAAACACAGAGGGAGAACGACCAGATGAACTCGTCTCCAGTGGGACTGAACATCAGAGAAGTTGAGGGATGTGCCCTCTCAACGTTTGGCACAGCCCTGAGGGAGTTTATTCACTGGCTTCAGGCTATCTGACAGCATCCTCTCCATCACAGCAATTTTTGCATGGAATCTGTAGCAACATTCCTGAGAGATGCAGGAGAATTGTTACAAGGAGAATGGTAACATTTTAGAAAACGCTATGTCATCTGTACTTGTTTCCTTGAAGTCAAATTGGAGGTCGCAAAAGATGACAGAGATTACTGTAAACTGCCTCCCCTTCTTCCTTTTTTTGAGAAGATGCAGGCCATTTCTTCTGGAGTTTCACACCTCGTCTGAAAGGAAAAGCACTAAATGCTCATAATAAACTGTAATTTAAACTTCAGGGGTTCTCCAAACACTGCCAGATACCAGAACAACCTTGACGAACATTACTAATTACAGGAACAATAGGGTATGTGTACAGCTATCAGAAAAACACCGGCTTCAAGTAGGCCTACGAGGCACGCTGTTAAGACAGAGTTAGGTCCTAGGCAAAACTCGAGTATCAGGCTAACCAGGAACCATGCACTGCTGTCACTGCTTGCAACCTATAATCATCTCCATCTTCCGTTTCTGCATCACCTACGAGAGGAACTTGGAACAACAGTTGCCAAGGAAAGGACTGGAACAGTCTCTGAAAAAGCAAATGCAGTGGAAGAAGTTCAGTATCTCATCTGGTAATCGGCAGCTTAAAGACAGGTAGTCAAATGTAAATCCTAATCAAATGACCTCATTTCCCATATGATGGAACATTTTCTATTGGATGACTTTTTGATAGCAAACAGTATGTTTGTGTCAGTGTCTAACCCCAGCCAGCAACTCAGCCCCGCCCAGCCGCTCGCTCCGTCCTCCCCCCCAGCCCCCGG